TGCGCAACTAATATGGGAAACTTTGCATCTGCATTACCCACGATATAATCAAGACATGCAGCTTAATGTTCTGGTTTGAACTATTGCCACCTTTTGTTGTTTAGTAAATGAGAGTAAGTGCATCAAGTGAGTTTAGTTCACCAAGTTATAACAATGTTTACATTTAATTCCTTACATAAACACACAAAATGACCCAAGAGAATAGTACAAACATGGAAGTTGTGCGAATTTCAACCTTTCAATTCAACTACCAATATTTGTATTTCAAAATTTATTCGAAGAGGCCTATAATCCTCAATAAAGTTGATTTTGATACTAAATGTCACGGTTCAGGATTTCGGATGGAAAATGACTCGAATGTGATAGGTTCTGACATAACCATGACACTACATCTGCAGGAAATTAACATTTTTACGTATTACCATAATCTTGTCCCTATTAGTAACGAAAATCGTCGAGAATATCGGTTGTTAATAGCATGTTAGACATGTTAAGATTTTAAAGGAAATACAATGAGTCCAATAATAATGCACTCTGGTTCTTATTGTTAGCCACATTCCTATTGTGTAGGCTATGACTACCAGGTTATATTTCTCGTATATGAATAAAAAACTGCACTGCTCGAGAACTTCAACTGCAAACGATGTCTTCATATATAGAAGAACCGACGCATAAACATCAGAAGGAGAAACGGTTTTTAAGCTTTAGTAGATTACCATGGAGTAGTCTTCCTTGTAGGGCAACTAATCTTTCTTTAAAACAAAAATACGAACTTTGGATTGGCAGTGAGGAAGAGGTAATCTGCATCCCAAGGACTACATGCAGCAGCAAACAAACATGCTGATCCAAACCTCAGGATGCAGATTACCCGGTCCTTACCAGCTCTATGTAAGCAGAAGAAGAAGCTGAGGTTGAGGCCTTCATGCATGAGAATACCGAAATTTATAGTGAAGATTTATTCCTCCAAAAACTGTCATGGAATAAGGTGCTTCAATGGCGTATCATCGATCATTGATTTTGTTCTTCACAAACCAATGATATCCCTACTTTCCATAGACAATGACGGTGTTGGTATCTTGACTGCTTTTTCCTCATGACTTGAAAAAATCTTTGCTGGCATGGCTTCTTATAAAAAAAAAGGTCATCTTCATTATGTTTGTGTGTATATAGTGAAAATAGTGAAGAAAAAGAAAAAATTCTTTTGCCAAAACCTATCACTATGAAAACAAGTAAGGCTTTTCAGTCTGCTTAAAGCTTACATTTCGGAATGGAAGAATCTTGAACACATCGTTTAGGGGTGTCAGTTGAAGTATCTGGTTTCGTGGTCCACATCTCACAAAGGGCTTGTTTGGCTAATGCTTAATAGTTGCAGAGGGTTTAAAGTATGGTGAAGGATAGGAATGCAACCAAAGGGAGCACGATGTATTTGGTGTGGGAATCTTATGTCATAAGCAATCATGTTTGTGTTAACATCAATGTGAGGCTAGCGGACAAGGGAATGGAACACGAGTCTGATTTCATCCATCAACATTCTGCTAATATGCTAAGTTAAGAGCTAAGAAGAAATTCCAGGCTAACTTTCCATCTTATGCCTAACAACTTCGCCCCAAAACTTGCTACAATGTCTTGTCGCTGCAATCCAAATAATTCTAATCAGAAATTCAATAAACATTTTAGAAAAATTAAATTTACCGGTACTAAACGTATAATTTACCCTTTTAATATTTACTTAATAAGGATAATTTAATTAGTGGTATATTTTGGTGTATCGTATTAGTTGTGTATTTTGACATACGACGTACACCGTAGACTCATCCCAAATTCTATAGAAAAAAAAAAACATGGACTAATTTCTAATTACATATAGAGCTAAAAGAGCTCTCCCTATTAATATCAGGAAATAACGTATGTTAGGATCATCTTAAAAAATTAAAAATTTTAGACTTCAATAAAATAGTGTCCGATAGTGCTTATGGATTTTGATTTCTTTCACTTTTTAATGTATCCTATTTCATTTTAATTTATTTTTTCCTCGTATGATTTTAGTGTTTCTTTTTTATAGAACTTAAAAAGTATCTCAATGGTAAAAGAGAATATTATTCTCCTTATAATTCTTGAGTTAGAGCATATGCGTTTACAGAATATATGTGTATTATCAATTAATTAAGTAAATTTTAAACATATATTACCTTGTAATCACCCTAGAATATTAAAAAAGTGTTTTCTTTCTATGGATTTTTATCACGTTTGATATATCATCGTTATTCAGACAAAGAAAAACAATATTAAGGAGATGGCTCGAAATTATGTGTTAAAATACACGTAAGTTTTGAAAGTTTAAAAAAATTTGAGGGTTAAATTAAAGCAATAATACTCTTTGGGGGTAAGTAGAGATTTAAAGTACCTTTTACTGTATCTCTAAAATCGTCATGTAAATTTAACGATTTATAATAAAGTCTTTGTCCCTTCTTGACGATTTTGCATTAAATTTTTTAATTCTAAAAAAGGTCGCCCTAAAATGATGATAATTTCCCCTCATTTTTATGAATTAAGGGGTCAAAATGGAAGGAAGATGGGAAAAGGGATAAAATGAAAGAAATGAAAAAGAGAGAGTCAAACTATAAAAATTATTACGAATTTTATTAAAAAATGAGAAATATGTGCAACACATATCAAAATCACAAGCAGAAGCCAAGCAACAATACTTACGTATATAAGCATTGTCTTCAATCTCACGATAAACTTTTGTTTAAAATATTATATTTAAACATTTGAAAAAATAATATCTAAATAATGTGGGATTTAAAGAATTTCATGTCTAAAGTTATTGATGTTTGAACTCAAGTATTTTAGAAGGCAGCAAATAATGTATTCAAAGCTTCATTTATTTATTGTATTGATATGAATTTAATAAAATTTCAATATGTCTTTGATAGCTCAAAATCAACAAATTTAACAGTAAATTTTCTTAATTCTCAGTTTGTTTTGATGCTCATTTTTTTAAGTGTTTAAATTCAACCTTTTAAACATACAGTCATCGAGTGAAGACGATGTCAAAAAAATACAAGTCATTGTTGATTGAATCTACTTGTGCTTGTGAAAAAACATGTATTTGACATGTTTAGTGAGCATTTTTTCCCGATAAAATTCGTTATAAATTTTATGTTTTGATCCCTCTTTTTTTTCTTTCATTCTTTTTGACCTTCCTTTTTTCTTTCTTTCATTTTAGCCACTTTTTTCATTTCCTTCCATTTTGGTCCCTTAATTCAAAAAATGTGAAAAGTCACGATTCTGTGTGGACAAATTTTCCTTGTAATTAAAAAAATCAATGCAAAGTCATTAAAAGAGGGACAAATATTTTATTATAAATCGTCAAACCTACACATGATTTAAAAATAATTTAGTAATTAGTAAATAGTAAATACACTAAATTTTAAATAAAATCTCAAGTATTCTATTTCGCTACTTTTTTATAGAGCATAATTACTCTAATTCGGTATTCAAAATTTCTAATAAGAACGATGGTAGAATACTCTCTTCTGCTCAAATAAAGGAGAGCCAATGATGTTAATTTTAGAAATGAGCGAAAAGAGGGTCCGGTGATGGAGTTGGAATCACCCTCTAACTTTTGAAATCCACTTTTGTCAGGAGAAATTACTTTATCTCCCTCTACCAACCTTTGATTATTACCAAATATAAACATGATTAGATGCCTAAGCTAACTCCATTTGCAATCACATACTATCATCATTCATCGTATCATATCTCCATAAATATTATAAATCACATGCTATTTATATCAAGTCTTCAATTATATTAATAGAGTTTGTTTTCTTGTCAACTCTTATGGCTTATTCTTAATATACATACATGTTAACTCGTTATTCTTTCTTCTACTACTTTTGTAATATATTTTATTCATTTAAGAATTGTTTTTCTTCTCTTTTGTTGTCGTGATAAAAAACGATCTTATTACCTTCAAATACATTTTTCAATCCGTCACTATTTATTGATATATCTATCTACATACATATTTTTTGTTTTTGTATGGTCAATTGAGCCATGATAAGAGCTTTGTCCCTAGAGAGGCAATTCAAGGAGGGAAGGATTCGTCCACAAATGTAGGGTTTTAGACAGATGATTGTCATCTCATAGACCTTTGGTGTTCGGATTAATGGTTTAAATAGAAAAAAGAAAAACAAGACATCAACGAATAATATCCATGATAAGTTACATTAACGGTAATATGAGTTGCATGTTGATCTGCTGATTGAGATATAATAGTCATTTGACATTATAAAATCAGATTTGATCATTAATCAGTCAAAAGATTAACGTCTAGCTCAGATTGTTGTTAATTTTTAACGGAAAATAACGAGTTTAGAATATAATAAATAGTTGAGTTATCGTTTTGTAATTTTTAATAATAGAATGACTCAATAAAATAATTTTCTATAACCCATAAATAATTTTGTAATTTCTAATAATAAAAAAATTCAATAAAATAACATTCTATAATCGAAAATGGAACAACCATTTGTGTACTTTACGCACACAAAAATTCTACCACCGGTGTTTCCACCAAGCAACCAATGGAGCAGACCACAGACTTGCCCTTTCCCTTCTTCGACTACTCAAACTCTGAACCAAAGCAAAATGTAGAAAGTAAATCCCTCTTTCCCCGCCTCTTTCGGGGGTACCCAAATGAAAAGCGGGGAAATTATGGCGTGCGCCCCCATTCCCCTGGCCTGCCCTCCACGTAAAGATGAAAGAAAGTAGTTTGAAAAGCATTGTAACCAGTAAAAATCATCCACGGCCATACCATTACAATTCTAATAGCCAAACCAAATACGTAATCACTTGAAACCCATTTCCCAAATATGTTCTGTTTCATTACGTGCTCCATACTCCCAACTTTGAATACAATAAAAAGCACATTCTAAGGCCATGATTTGATGATTGCCTCGAAATTATATAAAAAGTTTCATCTTGTAAATGCCATGATTTGATGATTGCCTCGAAATTATATAAAAAGTTTCATCTTGTAAAATTCTAAATTTACACGAGAATTCTACGCCAATACTTTCTTGGTAGACATTTCTATAAGAAAATGGCTCGTGGGAAGTCATTCTGACTGCTCTTTTGTTCCATCTTGCATTCTCATAACATATATTGGCTTCATCTACGTGAAATACACTATCAGATTTAAATAATATGGCCCTCGAAGCTTCTACCCCATCTTCTTTCAACCTACAAAATCATGCAAAAGCTGTCCTCCGATCACGTCCCGTCCGAAATGTCGGTTTTGTGCTTCATACCCACCGATGACATACCCTTCATTGTTTACCTCAACCCCAATTCCGAAACGCTGAGCTGCATTTATAGTAAAGGGCTCTGGTAAGCCGATACCATTACTCTGATGAAGACCCAGTGTCAAGGAAACACCGGAAGTACTTCCACCTGCCATGCTAACACCGACACCAACTTGTGGATGGCTCGACAAGCTGTTGTATGGCAAGTTGAGTGGTTCGCTTCCCATGGGTATGTCGGTCAGTTCACTTCTCATTTGCTTCAATGGGGTATCTTGAGCCCTTTGGCTTGATGTAGCTGGATGTTCGGATCCAAGAGTGTTCGCCGAAGACAAATGATCGCTCGACTTGTTCAAGTTCCGGTCCTTTTGGGATGCCTTTTGTGCTTGTTTTGTTTCCAGCACGTGTATTTCTTCCACCATTGGCTTCCACAGCCTTACTCTTGCATTTATAAACCAATTTGAGACCTGGTTCAAAAGATTATGTTTTTGAGGCTCAAATAAAAGAATTAGTTGTTCGCAAAAGACTATAATATGTGTAGGAATGACGATTAACAGCATACCTGACTACGTGATAGACCGGTTTGTTTTGCCAACATTAGTTTGTCCGTATCTGTTGGATAGCTAAAACATAAAATATAAATGTTAATGAACTAATGCATGCACATGAGGTTATCAAGGAAACAAGATTAAAGATTTTATCAATGTGATTCAAGTACTTACGGATGTAGAAAGTGTTCAAAAAGCCATGCTCTAAGTACAGTTACAGCACGCTCAGGAAGGCCTCGTTGAGGCCGCCAAGCTGGTTGATGCTCAGGGAAGCCAGAGTTATGAACTGATCGATTATAATTGCTTCTATTGGAGCTTCCAGACCTCAGACCCTCATCTTTTCCGGGGCTTATCTGACCATGAGCATTGTTAGTGAACTGAAGCTGGTCCGTTATTGCAGTCTTCAAGAAACTGAAATGTTTGGACAATGCTTTCAACGCCAAGTCTGCGTATGGAGCCGCATTGCTCAGTCCAGCAACACATTCGAAAGATGCAACTACAGCTTGCATCTGTTGATAGTATTGCTTGTACCTCCTGAATGCCTAATAATGATAAATACAGTTAGCAAGTAGGAAAGTTTCAAAATACTGACCAACATAAACCCACTAAAAATAATGTCGCAAAATTATTAAAAAGGATGAAGAAACTAACCCTAGAATTACTGTGAAACTTTGCATGTTTAATTAAGTAACATGATCAAACAAAACATTGTTCTAACCTAGGGTATTAGGAGACTGATGGAAACCTTAATCACCTAAGAATGATACACGAAGCAACTTAAGTGGTGAAAAGAGATCTAAGGACAAAAAGGATACTGCCTCAATAGGACATGGTTGAAGGTAGTGCTCAATGCTTTACAGGTAAATAAAACAAAGGACATTTTAACCTAATATGTCCCATGTGAGATTCATGGCATTAATCTTTTTACAGTCAAAGCACCCACCTATGGAAAGGAAATGTGGTGCATCCTTACTAAAAGGCTCACACCGCCATATCTTCTCCGTGATGGAACACAATTATCTTTACCGACATGTAATCTGAAATTTCACAGAATTTTGTTGCCCCACATTTATATTGTCTAATCATCTGTATATATATATGTATATCCCAACCGATAGACCAGTTACTAGCTTTGAAGAATCACATCCTTAAAAGGAAACACTTGGGATGCTAGGTGAACTCTAATCTAACCGATAAAGACAAAAGCATCGATTATTAGCTTAAACACTAGTCACTAATTAATTCCATAGCAGTTCAGAAGTTGTCCCATTAGAGAATATCATTCCTCCCGGCTTACAGATTATAAAACATGCAAACTTATTCAACAAGAAAAAATCAAAAGCAATCACTCCAAACAATAATAAGCATTAACCCTGTAAATTGATTAATTTATGGAATTCATTATACTTCTAATTACCACGTAAAACCGGACTTAATATAACATAGAGGAATCAGTCAATCCATCTATGCACACATATTTGTATTGTTTGGTACAAATTCACCTGTCAGCTAGTAGTACTATATTAATTCAATGCAGCTAAGCTCTATGCACCAAAAAGTAGACATTGCAAGCTATTTGTCTTCAGAAGGCAGCTTGCAATAACCAATTATGCTTTCAACAAACTTTTTGGGAGTATAAAAATTTTCAAATGAACTCCTTTAAATTACTTTAGAGCATATTAAGCACCAAAGTGGCGACATTGTCACTTACAACAAGTCTTTCTATGGTTGTCAGACACTGTATTAACACCGATCTTTCTGCATATATTCCCCTCCTTTCACCTTTTCATAAAGAGATAATAATATATATTTTTTGGGATCATCGAGGCCATTCACAAATACAAGAATCCAATTCGCACAGTATACAAATGGAGGAAAGTTTTTTTTTTTATTTAACAAATGCATGCAAGCAACACCACCATAAAAAAAAATGAATATTGGTTCCGTATCGGACTAAACCTAACGCCATTTAAGAGAATCCAACATTTTTTTTATTTTAATAATAAATAACCAGAGATTGACAGCAATGCCCGGGTTTCACAAAGAACAATCTCCAAGGAGGATTAGAAGAGGATAAGGGACACGGATCCAAATATCACTTGGATATGCTACAAATTTTAAGGGCAATTTGAAGAAGGAAACAACACATCAAAACATAAATTGAATGTTCTAATACCTCGTCAAGCAATGAAAATAGCCTTGATTTCTTTCCTGAATTCTCAGAATCATCTATAATTGCAGTAGCACTTAAGTTCTGCGATGGAGACTCCATCATAGACGAGTCGGGAGTGATTTTCTCAACGTAACTTCCCGTACCCACATCGCAAAGCTCTTCTAGCAACTGTTGTGCCGGCCACAGAAACTTTGATCCCTTCAGAATCGAAGCGTAGCCAGTGAAAGGACCGAGAGGGACCGAGCTCCGGGAAACCTCATGGACGTAGAAGCGACATATCCAGTGGGAGTAACTTTGTCGCTGTAGATAGCAGAGTCGTACCTTTGTAGATTTAGCGCCATAGAAAGATTGTTTTGGTGGGTATTAGGAGATAGATAGAGAAAGAGACAAGCCTTGACCGGTGGCACTAGCCTCGGGTTTAACTCCATCATAGACGAGTCGGGAGTGATTTTCTCAACGTAACTTCCCGTACCCACATCGCAAAGCTCTTCTAGCAACTGTTGTGCCGGCCACAGAAACTTTGATCCCTTCAGAATCGAAGCGTAGCCAGTGAAAGGACCGAGAGGGACCGAGCTCCGGGAAACCTCATTGGACGTAGAAGCGACATATCCAGTGGGAGTAACTTTGTCGCTGTAGATAGCAGAGTCGTACCTTTGTAGATTTAGCGCCATAGAAAGATTGTTTTGGTGGGTATTATGAGAAGATAGAGAAAGAGACAAGCCTTGACCGGTGGCACTAGCCTCGGGTTTATATACAACGACCTCGGTACTGTTATTATAGGACGACTGGTTGAAGTCTCTTAGGTTTTCAAGGCTTTGAGGGGCATAAAGAAACGGGTTGTTATTATTATTCATGTCTTGGATCGTGCTAGGGTTCAAGGGTAAAGATGACGCTGAATTCAAATAAGGGTGATAAGAAGTCGAGGAAGAAGAAGAAGAACCGTTGACGATCCCACCAACAAAGCCCATGAAATTCATACCTTCTTCTTTAACAACACAAATGGGACTGTTTTTACCAGTTTGGTGGTGGTGGAAGCCATGGCTACCACCAGCAGTGGCAGTCAACAAATCAGAAGAAAGAAGAGAAGGGTCGTACAAAGGAAGAAAACCCGAGCAACCTGAAAGAGCAACAGCCGTTGATTCAACCCATGCCGGGTGGTTTTGAGCCACAACTCTTAGCTTATCTCTTCTGCTTTGCTGTGGGACATGGTAGGGTTCAAAACCCTCCGCCATAGCCACTCAAAAAAAAAACTCTAGAGAGAAAGAGAGACTGAATTTAAAGAAGAAAAATGAAAACCAGTCAAAAAAGTGAACTGCGCAACAAAAGATTAGAAAAAGAAACAGGAGGAGAAGGGATATATGCTTGAAATTTTAGAATTGGGAACTTTGGATTGTGTGATGTAAAGAGAGTGAAAGAGATAGGTGATGATTATTGAGAAGGATGAAATGAAAGGTTATCATGATATTTTTTCTTCAGCAGCTGAAAACATGGCAGAGAAAGAGAGAGAGGGGGTGAAGGAGGTGGCGGTGATACGTTCGACAGACTGAGATTTTCGGTATGGGATGCACAGTAAGTAACTTCACGAACTTTTAAATCTTTTGATTTTTCTTGCACGAACAAACTAAACTCGATCTCGTAGTTGTCGGTCACTGATCTGGGTTCTCAAACTCCACAGACAAAATCTCTTGGTTTATCCGTTCATGGAGAGGGTGATCGTAGGGAGGACGACCGGCTACTTCCTGTAATAATTGAACATAACTGTGTTGCAGATATTTCTGACAGAAAGTTTGGGGAGGTGTTTTGTCGTTTCTCAAAGCCTTTTGGTGTTGTTGCCCTGTGGTTAATCTAACCAGCAAATCAATCATCAAACTAAAAAAAAAAAAGTTGCTTACTTTATCATTTTTTTACCTACCTTTATAATAAAAATAAGGACTCGATTGAGATTAAAGTCTACGTTTTTCTTTATTATCTTTTAAATTAAATTTAATATAAAAACAAATACTTAAATTATGTCTTTTTTAAAATGGATTTTTTTTTGTCAATTTAGGGATTTATTTTAAACTTTATTATTTTAGATATCTCGATAGTAATAATCGTTAAAAAATTTTAATAATTTTTAAAAAAAATTATTAAAAATAAAAAAAATTAAAAATATAATTTTAAAAAAAAATTAATTTTCGAATATTTAAAAGTTAAATCCTAAAACTTTAAAAATATTTATTTCAATTCCTAAACCCACATCGACCGTTATATTTTATCATCACTGAACTTCTACTTGATGATCAATAACTCCACGAATAGTCATCGGTACATGTGCCTACAAATGACGAATCACGGGACTACCGGTAAAGAATAAAGCTGCATATTGTGACCCAATGTGATCATGATAACATTTCACGACAAGGATGATGACGTATGATTAAGGAGATAGCAAGGAAAACGTGACGACGGCTTCTGTGGCCGACAATGATAGTAAGAGTACGATTAGGATTAGGAATTTAAGATTTTTTTGTAATTTAAGATAAATTATGATTTTCTTAAATTTGGTAATATTTTTAAATTTTTTAAATAAAATTTTCAAAATTACCTATAGGAGACAAGTGTTACTTGATGAATTTTTTTAACAATTGTTTTTACCGAGATATCTAGAAAATAATAACATTTGTAATGTTATGCACCTGAATTGATGTTCAAGGAAAGTTTAAACATCACTCTGAGAAGAGCGGTATAATTTGATATTTATCTTTATATTACGGAATTTATTATAATTAAGTATTTATGTGATACTTCCCAATGCACCATTTAGATAAATAAGTTAAAGACACATATAAACAAATACTGAATTTAAACATCATTTTAGAAACAAATTGTATTTTTTGTTCATACTTCTTCTTTTCCCTGTTATCACAACAAAATAGGTAGGGTTTATAAATATTTTCTTCTTCTTCTTTGTTGTTCATTTGGCTTCATTGTTTCTGGTTTTTACAGTTTAGGTGAGTGTTCTGTTTTCTGTGTTTTTCTAATTTATCAATGTGTGGGGTTTTGCACCAGGAACATTTCATTTTAATTAGAGAGTCGAGTGTAACAGTAGTTTTCTGTCGCTATGGATTTTAGACAATCTTAAATTGCTTAAGTGAAAAAATCGAAAATTATAATTACCTTCATTAATTATGTTAAAATATTTTTTTTTAAATTTTATTTCTAATTTACATATTTTCTTTTGTTCACTAAATGAAACAGCACTTATACTTTATCAACGATGTATTGAACATTTTTTTAAAAGGCTTAATGTACGAATTAGTCCCCGAAGTATATCAATTTTCTCATTTAAGTTTTTTTGGGGGTTCATATCAAGATCTAACATTATTATTATTTTCAGATCACATCGTATTCTTATTATTATTAAATGTGTCACTTGTTAAATTAGACGTAGTCTTTAATGTTAACACAATCTTTTAAAATCGCATATCTATAATTAAAATAGATTTGCAGTTGATATTATCATTCTCAAAATAAATAAAAAATATTCAAAAATATATTTCCGATAATCGGAAAAACGTTCAAGAAAAATAAGAATAAAAATGTGTATACAAGAGAGAGTATGAAAGTGTTTTTTGTTATGTTCAAAATGAATTGAGAAAACCTCTGTTTATATGTTTGAAAAAAGGCCGAATTAAATATGTGTAATAAACATAGGATAAATAGATTGTCTCAAACTGTCAAAATATATATTTTAAATATCAGAAACAGATCATTTAAAACATTCAAATCCACATAATAATAAATTTATAAGAAACACCCAAACCTAAATAATCAATAAATAACATAAAATATTTTATTCACAATTTAAAAAATTAAGGAAAAATCATAAAAAAATTTCAGAAAAAATATATGCTTCAACACATATATAAATCAAGTCGGTAATGACGGTATGTATGTATAAGGGACATACATTTTATTACCCAATAAAAAAAAGGGGGAAATATAAGGTTATATATGATTTTACAACAATTTTTTTTACTAATTAATGTGTAATTATAATATTTCTTTCTTTTTCATCGCTAACAATACATATGTTATTTTATATACTGATTGTTTTTATTTTGAAAGTATTTTTGTTAGGGTAAAGTACATAAATAAGGTATTCTTTTATTAAGTCTTTCACTATTAAAGTTTACAAAATGATCACTCAATTATTCATATGTTCTAAACTCATAAATTTATGTTAAAAAAGTTAACATTCGTATGAGTTGGACATTAACTTGTTGAGATATGATAAAATTATATTTTAATGATATTTACTAGCACTTGTGTTGCTTTTAAGCATTAACTCGACGAAATAATGTTTCAAACTGACTCAACGATATATAAATAGAAACTCTATCAATAAAATACAATTCAAATAGTTTTTAAATCAAATTCTATCATGTCGTGGTGAGCAAGTTAACTTATAGTTCAAATGATAATACATTTTTAACGGAAAAATTAAATTTGAAACATATGAATAATTATGTGATTATTTTTAAATTTTTAATAGTCAGATAACTTAATAAAATAACATCTTATAATTAAAAAATTATTTTATAATTTTTAATAGTCAATATATTTAATAAAATAATATTTTATCGAGAGATTATATATGTATTTTACCCATTTGTTTATTATGAATAAAAATACGAAGACGCACGTGAGAAGGGGAACAAATGTGAGCAATGAAATGAAAGGATGAGCTCCAACACTCACCCATCTGTGATGTGCCGATGCTTTCGATACTCTTGCTTTATCCTGCTTTTCCTCTCTTTTTTTCATCATTACTCTTGTTAATTTTCAATTCTTTATTAAGATTTCGTATTTAAATTTATTTATTTATTTTTAAAATGTAGACCTGTTTACAATGATTATTTTACTTTTTAGGGAAAGAGTTAGATTTCGAAATGAGTGTATTATTTAATAACATCTAAAATATTAATTGCAGTAGTAACTTCAGAAGCAAATGTATGATTATAATATGTTGCATTTATTAACATAAATCGAACTTCGATCTTTTACTTTATTTTGAGTACACAAATATTATTATTCAGTTTAGGTATTTATTTTGATAAGAAATAAATTAATATATTTTATTTGATAAAATAAATAAATATTTAAATAATAAAAACTATATATGTTTTAGAGATTTATTTAGAATATAAACATTTTTAAACTTATTTATTAATTTTTTAACGAATGCCAATTGTTCAAAAGATAATTTAAATTATAAAAATTGATAATAAATAATTTAACATAATTTACTGCAATTTATACATTACAGATATATATAGGGGCATGATTTAATTACATTTGGTGTAAAACTAAGAATCTATAAACAAAAAAATATCCTCAGCTTTTAACATTTCTAATATAACAGTCTTAAAAATGTCTAAAGCTAAGAGTTTTACGCTAAATATGAGTGTATTCTAACTCTATGAAAATTATTATTATTTTTTAAAGGTAAATATATATATATATATATATATATATATATATATATATATATATATATATATATAAGTTAATTAAACTGTTGTTGTAAATAAAGATTGTCAAATTATCTTAATTTGATTTGTACTTTGAATTTATACATTAAATATTTATGACTTTATTTTAAAAATTTATAATTTCAATTATAATTTGGGTTTGTTCTATTTTTTGCATGTGGTTGTTATTAGTCATTTTTCTTCTTCATATTTGTGATCAACGACAATATCAGCCTTGATATTTATCGTCGACTGTCATTATTCTTTGTTTTTCTTTTACTTTATTATATTATATTTTTTTCTTATTTATTTTTTTTAATAATTTTATCTTTATAACACGTATTCTTCTTCTTTTATGATACATTTTTCAATGTCTTTATGTCACATTTTCAGTTGTTTGACTGTTGTTTTGATATTTTTTTCAGGGTTAGATTTAACTTTGTCACAATTAATCAATATAACACTTATTTATTATCATGATGATCTTCTCTACTTTGGGCTCCCATATTGAATTGGGATATGCAATTTGCGTTCATGGATAGTATTTTCACGTCACTCGATTCTAATTTATAATTTATCGGTGATCTTTCAATAGTTTTATCTTTTTTTGTGGTTATTTACCAATGTAATTGTCGAAACGGTTTTTGTCCCGGGTGAGATTTTGGAAATCACACCAATTTTTAATTATTCTCTTTACGATTGAATTTTAATTAAAAACAATGTGATTTTAGAAAACCTCTTGTTTCGAAAATTTGGGAATTCATTCACGATAAAAATACGGGTTCGAAGAGTCGCCACCAATCTTTGATTAGGGTGTGATTGGGCACCCAAAAATGTTTTGCCATTTTAAATAAAAAAAAATTAATTTTAATTAAAACAACAAATTTAGGTCTGCATTACCAAAATTCGAGTTCGGTTCGGGAGTCGGTTACGCGTGGGGAAGGATTAGCACCCCCACAGCGCCCTAAATCGGTACCTGTCGATTAATTAATGTCTTTGCAATGAAATTTACAAATTCGAGTTTAATTTGATTTATGATCCCCGACAAAACACCACATGAATTTTACAAAATTCAAAAGCATCCAAAATAGATTGAATTAAAATTACCAGGCCTTTAGAAAGATAAAGAATATTCGATTATTTACAAATATCGAGACCAGATCTTAGATAAGTTCTAACTATCTTTTCTCGATAAATTTAAATAGCCGAATATTTCTTTTTCTTCCGTTCCCAAATTTAAAAGCGATAAATTAATT